ACATGCAGGCAGGAAGCTCTGCCCTCCCAAGATGCTGCACCCCTCGCACTGCTTTTGCGATCACTGTTGGTGACAGGCCGACTCCAACCCTGGGTGTCTCCTGGGAGAGTGCGAAGCTGCTGTATTTTTGTGCCGATTCTTTTGTGAAGGCGCAGTTAACGGCACTCATGCACCTGAGGAAAAGGAAGTGCCCCAGTTGTGGAGTGAGAGATTGGGGCTACTACTTATACGCGCTCACGGGTAACAGTGCAGCATCATGCTGCTGACGCTTCCCTCTCTTGACTGAGACTGCGGAACTTGGGGTTACGATCTTTTTTTACCTGGCCCTTAATATATGTATTCGTATGCTTATGTTTTCAGCTGTTCCTTGTAATGCAAATCCCTCCTCCAAATTTCTCTTTCCAGACTCTCCTACCTCTTCCCTCCTTCTTCTCTCCTCCCTCCCTCCTCCCGCCTCCCTCCTGTTTCCTCTCTCCTCCCTCCTCACTCTTCCCTCTTGTCTTCTGCCTCCTCCGTCCAGCGTCCTCTCTCCTCTCTCCTGCGTCGTCCCTCCTCGCTGATCCCTTCAATATCCTCCCTGCTTCTTCGGCCCACCGTCCCTCGGAGGTCCTGCATCTTCGTGTATGTTTGTGCCTTTGTGAGCTTGTTTGTCTGTCTGTCGGCAGCGTGAAGACTCGACACGGACGCTCTTCTTGGAAGCAGGTAGTGGTGGTGGGTTTTGGTGGTGGTGGTGGTGATGGTGAGTTGTGGTGTGTGTTGTGTGGTGGTTGTGGTGGTGTGGTGGTGGTTTGGTGGTGTTGGTGGTAGTGGGTTGTGGTGGTGGCGGTGGTTTGTGGACGTGGTTCTGTGGTGGTGGTGGTGGCGGTGGTGGTGGTGGTGATGTGGTGGTTTGTGGTGGTGGCGGTGGGTTGTGCTACTAGTAGTGGTGGTGGTTTTGTCAGTGGTGGTGGTGTGTGGTAGCTTGGTGTGGTGGTAGTGGTGTGGGTTCTTGTGGTGGTTGTGGTGGTGATGGTGAGTTGTGGTGGGGGTTTGTGGTGGTGTGGTGGTGGTGGTGGGGTGGTGGTGGTTGTGTGGTGTGTTGTTGGTGGTGGTGGTGGTGGTGGTGGGTGGTTGGGTGGTAGTGGTGGCGGTGGTGGTAGTGGTGGTAATCGTCGCTGCGTCTCCGCCGTCGCCGGCGCCAGCGACGGCGCTGCTGGCCGCCGCCAGCGCCAGCGCCGGCGCCAGGGGGAGGGGTGTTTGAACCCCCCCCCTGAGCTGCCTCTGGTCATCGTCGCTGCGTCCCCGCCGTCGGCGCTGCGGCCGCCAGCGCCGGCACCGGCGCCGGGGGGGGGGGTTTGAATCCCCCCCCCTTGGGAGAGGGGGGGGTGGTTTTCGGGAGGGGAGGGGGTTTGGGGGGAAGGGGAGTCCCCTTGGTTTTGATCGACGGCGCCGAGTGTTGGGGGGGGGCCCCGGCCCCCCCCCCGGTTCGAAACGCGCCGCCGAATGTTCCCAAGGCAAGCGCCCGTGAAACGCGTTCTCTCTTTCTCTCTCTCTCTCTCTCTGTCTGTCTGTCTGTCTCTCTCTCTCTCTCTCTCTCTCTCTCTCTCTTTTATATATATACACATATACATGTATATACATCTATTTGTTGTTTTGCTGCTTTGCTGTGCCCTCTCTCAGCGAATTCAAGATCTGCAGCGGCCAGCCTGCAGAATGGCCAATCCCACTCGGTGGGATGGCAGTTGCTTCAGCTTTTGTTGTCCCCCACAGCGGCGGGACCCCCCAGCCGGCCGGGCACACACCCGCGAATGGATTTTCCCGTCTGGTCTAGTCTAGAATCCAGCGCTGAATCCGAGTCCAACCAACCAATCCTCTCTCTCTCTCTCTCTCTCTTCCCTCTCCCTCTCCCTCTCCCTCTGCCTCTCCCTCTCTGCTCCGCCCCTGCTTCTCCCCGGCCGCTCCCGCCCCCTGCCCGCTTCCCGCCCCCCTGGGAGTCGCCTCCCCCTGCCCCCCAGTCACTATCCCGCCTCCCCCCCAAACACTACCTCGCCCCACTCTCCCCCTTCCCCCCATCGCTATTTACCCCCCCCGAAGGCTATCTCGCCCCACCCTCCTCTTCCATCCGAAGCACCCCTTCCCGCCCCGGCCAGCCCCGGCGCCCCCCGAACCCGCCGCCTCGCCCTCCCGCAGCAGGACCCCCCCGCGCCCCGGCCGACGCCGCGACCCGCCAGCGCCATGAACGCCCTGTCTGGCCTGCGGGTCCTCGCGGCCGCCGCCACGGCAGACGGGGGGGGGGGGCCTTCGCCTGCTGCTGCGGGTCGTGCAGTCAAGCCGAAGCTGCGTAAACATAAATTTCAGAGCTCTGAATGTGATTCTGACGCATATCTGCAGTCTGTACCGTACGTGCGCGGTGATGCCGCTTTCTGCCTCTGCCGATCTTCCTGCCGAGGCGGTGGAAGAGGGCAGCTCGAGTTCGGAAGGGCCTTGCTGCTCTTGGAGGTCCCTGCTTGCTTGCTCCTCT